CTACTAACTACTTACTACTAACTACTAACTACTAACTACTAACTACTAACTACCCACTACTTACTACTACTTCTGCTACTACTACTACTACTACTACTACAACAACGACGACGCCAACAACAACAACAACAACAACAACTACTACTACTACTACTACTTCTACCACTACCACTACCACTACCACTATTATGACGACGGCAACGACTACCACACTCGCCATTGCTACTTCCGAGAAGGTTCACTTGTTTGTATCGGTTTGTCGTCAGAGGGTTTAGCTTTTGTTTCTTGGACTACGGTTGATGATGTAAATCTTGCATTACCCATAATAAGGAATGTACCATAATTCCCATAGTTTAGGGTCCTTAAGGTAGGACAGGATTTATATCATCAACAGTGGGTTGTGTTGCAAGAGGGGTCGTCGCTGGAAGAGAAGGAGTAAGGGGACCTGCCTTTTCCATGATCCCTCTTTCAAGAGCCCGGGGTGGGATTGGTGCCCTTGGTACAGGCCGTACAGACTCTGTTTCTTTTAAGCTGGGCTCATTTTCCGAGCTTGTTCCAAGGGGTTTCAGGATTTGATATTGTTTGCTTGTTTGCCCTGGGCTTTCGAGGCTTCGGGCGATGTAGTGAGGGTTCAGAGGTTCAGGGTTTAGGGGTTTAGGGGTTTAGGGGTTTAGGGGTTTAGGGGTTTAGGGGTTTAGGGGTTTAGGGGTTTAGGGTTCAGGCTCAGGACGTCTGGGAGTTTGGGGCTCTTGTCTTCTACGGTTTAGGGGTTAGGGGTTGGTGTCAGAGAGGGTCTCGCGATGTGAGATCTTTTTTCAGCCTTCACGCGATTAGAAACGGATCCGAAGAGGGTTTCAGGGGCCAGCCCGTTGTAGATCCGAGGCCGTAACAACTCTGAACTTTCGAAACTTTTGAAGTACCTGGATATTGTAGAGGTATCTGGCGTGCTGTTTTGTGGAGTACATGTGACTGTTTGTGAACTCTAAACCCCAGGCGGCATCATAAGCAGCCCCTAAGCTAGTACACCCTTGGCGGCCGCGAGGATGATGACGCCAGTGCCATGGTTCTGAGGTGGTGTGCTCAGTCGACAGGAGTTCTGTCAAGTGTCAGGGTCGTCAAGGGTCCAGGGTTTTCCGGTTTCCGGTGTTTAGAGGTTCTGGACTCAAGATTTTGGGGTTGTTAGGGAACTGTGTGAACCCCTAAACCCTAAGCCGTAAACTCCGAAACCCTAAACCCTAAA